GCATTTTGTTCAGGCTGTTAGTGACACATTGAAGATTTCGTTTTCCGAAAAAAAATCGGAAAAAAAAATCGGAAAAAAAAATTGAGAAAGTCGTGTGATTTTTTTAACTTAAGATATTTTGAAAAGATAAAATTAGGGGGAACTTGCTGCGCTACTTTTATTTATTTGATCAGCTTCTGGGCAATGACTACTGTGTGGTCAGGTATTCTGTGCAAGTTAAACGGCAACCGGTTACTTTGCCGAGTTTTGAGCATAGAGCTTACGTATATTCTGATACTCTCCAGTTGCTCAAGTAAAACACCATCGAAATTAAAATTATCATTTTTCGATGCTCAGATTAGATTCTGATTCTAATCATCAGATCCCCAGGGAAATTAAATTTCCGACGCTGACAAGAAGCTACGAATAATGATGTGATTTCAATCTGAAGTTATGGAAATGCAAAAAAAATTCAATTCAATTTTACTTGTTATAAATGCTTATACGTTGCATGCGTTCTAACTTCCATTTGGCTATTGGGTCTGGAAATAGGGGCTAAAGTTGTTGAGAAAGGAAAAAGGGAAAAGAGGTCGACAGTTTCTTAAGTTTCCTTGATTATCAAAACTAGTTGGCAGAAGTAATTGTTTTAAGAGTTCGCAAATTTTAGAAAAAATGAAAACTTTGTCCATGTTTTTCGTTAATTGACAAAACTGACATTCCGAGATTTGCTCTATGGTTTACTGGTAGAGCTCGCAAGGTTTACCTATAAACAATATCGACCAGATTTTCATTTTTTTTTCTAAAAATTTGCCATTTCTCGAAAAAATTGCAAACTTTGACGACTCTTTTTAGAGGTCGTCAAAATAAAATTCCAAATCACAATAGAGACTCGATATTCTAAAAAAAAAATTGGCCACAGATGATTTCGTGCAGTTTTTGGAGGGTTTTGATCAAAAAAGTGTTTATTGGGCGTGTGCTCTCCCCTCAAAAGTAGTAATTATTGGAGAGCCGAAGACACCTTCAGAAATAATTAAGGGCTGCTTGACCAAAAAGGGATATCATAAAAGTGTCATGGGGGCTTTTAGGTTGTCAAGGACAAATCGCCAAATCCCTGATAGAAAAAAAAGTCGCCCCCCTAAATTCGCTACTGTACTACTGTACTGTAAGTAATCAGCTACTACAAATAATTACCAGTATATTTGTAAACAAACTCGTTTTGGCGTCAAATTATAGCAAAAAAGGTGGCAGGGAGCTTGATGAAATTTTCTCCCATCTTTTTCAAACGACCTTTATTTTCCGCAATAAATCGTAGGAAAAATTTTTCAGATACTTACCTGATCAAATTCTCTTTACCAACCATCCATATCGTAATTCTGATCTGAGAAGGAAACAAAAATAGACGCGTGTGATGTGCTGATAAATAATGTACAATCAAAGAGCACTCCTACTGCCAATCATTAGAGAATAATGACTGATTTACGTGGACTATGAAGAGTAGAAAATGTTAAAGACATCTTCAGCGGAAAAAAACTGCAAATTACCTCCCTCCCAAGTGTAAGAACGCAAAGACACTTTTAAGCACAAAAATGAAATTAAATTTTGACGCGAAAGCCGTGTTTTTATTCTGTTCATTATTTATTAGCTAATAAAATTATTGTAGAAAAAAATAGACAGAAAAATAAAGAAAAAACTTGGAAACAATTCTCAGCAGCTTTGGACAAAAATTAAAAATCGAATAAATCAAATCCAGAAACTTGCAATTGAATTCATAAAGGGATAATAAAAAACTATTCGAATCATGTATGAACTCTAAAATATTTTGTAGTTTTCTGACCTCTTCGAAAAACACTAGCTGGTAATTTTATATGAAAAAGAAATTCATGCGGAGGAACTGAATAACGTTAACGCTTTGTCAAATTAATAATTTTTTTACTGCTCTTTTGCTGCTATTTTGATATTTAAAAAATTATGCGAGGAAACTGAATAACATTAAGCTTTGTCAAATAACTTTTTTTTCGGTATTTTTCGGCAATGCAAGAATAAAGTTCTTTTATTAGCTGTAACACACCAGTGGGGAATACAACAAATCTAATTAGAAATTGGACCAATACCAGAATATCTTAACTTAATAATACCCAATCGTATCGTTTTCATGCAATCATTACATAATTTCTTCCCTTTCATTTCCTTCAAATTGTAATGAAAACAGAATCTTTTTCGAGATTTAAAAATCCCATTCCTCCCACAAAAAGACATTAAAGCGTCTGCCTGCACCGCTGGTAAATTTTTGTCAAATACTCATAACTATTGGAATGTCTTGTCAAAAAACTTTTTTTTGGTTTTCACTCTTAATTCTGAACGCAACAATCTATTTCAGTCAATTATTGATGCGATTGCGTTTTTTTCCGATAAAAAATGATCATAACTATATCTTAGGAAAACAATAGTTACTCTCAGTATCAAGTTATTACAAAAAGTTTATTTTTTTGCTTGTGAAGTTCAATACTACTGAACTATAAATTTTAATTATAAGATAAGTTTATTGTGCCTGGAAAAAATTACGCAAAATCAGTCGCATCAAGTCTCTAATCGAAGATTTGAGAGCAATTCGTTTAATAAATCATGGAAAAACTGCAACAGTGTTAGCGTCTTCGACGAGCAAACGAATGATGTTATTTACCTAGTTAAAAAAAATACATTGTTTTTGATTAATTTGAAGGCTCTTACTTTTTTTTCTGAACTTGGAAGCAAAAAAGTGTTGCAGAAATTGAGGGAGAGATTTGAAAATTTCATTCATATTTACAAACATAATTAAGTTCAATTACGTAATTACGATTACCGCGCGGAAACGGACTTTAATACACATAGTTGAAGCGGAGCTCCCGCCTTGCCGAAAAAACGTTGAAAATAACAAGATGAACCAAAATTTACGTATGCCTTAATGAATGACACCGAGGGCTCAGCTAAATCTGGAGGCAAGTGTTTGTTATAGGTTGAAGTTGCTATACTGATCAGGGACGAAATGTATAATTTCGAAAAGTGGACTTTGCCCAAAACCTTAGTTGTTTCTCTACTAAACAGCTAAGGAATAGAAAACAGCTAAGGAGTTTTCTGAAAGACTAAACCTTTTTCGTAAAAGTAATTAGAAGTAGCCTCCTTCCCTTGAAATTTTGATCTCATTTTGGATTTGATAGGGTAGTTTTTAAGAAAATTTGAAAAGTTTCAAAAAACGGTCAAAGTTCAAAAAATGGACTCTTTGAAATTCGTCAAAATTTTTCTGGTAAAACAGGTCGTGACCGGCTAAGTAGAGAAAATTACTATAATCGAGTTTCTGGATTGAACAGCAAACTTCGGAATTGACACGGTTATTTTCGAGTAGAGTCGAAAAACTTTCAAAAAACGTTCTAAGTTTCCAACCTTCCTTTGTTTGAGTTAATAAGTTTTTCTAAAAAAAAGTGAGCGTAGCAAGTTATAAAGGTATACAGGTAAGCTTCCAACAGCCTGTTGTGTCAATTCAATCTAGGATATCAGAATTGGCCAGATAGTTATCGAGAAAAGTCCAAAAGACCGTCAAAAAATTAGTCAGTTGACATTTCCGAGAATCGTAGCTCCTTGTAAAAAAATGAGCGTAGCCGCTTATTCAAAAGATATTTATCAAACCGGTTATTTCAATTGAACCCAAAAAGCCAAGTTTGGCAGGGTAACTCTCCAGAAAATTCAAGAAGTTTCAAAAAGGCTACAATTGAAAAGCTAAAAAAAGTTTTCCGAGGGTATTTTTGGTAAAAATTGGAAAGACAACGCTGAGAACGATAACGACTACGACGATAACTTTTTGTGGGAAGCTAACACGGGGAAGCTTTCCACTAGCCGTTATCTCCATTGAGCCCACAAACTTAAGTTTGGAGGTTAGTTTTCAAGAAAAATTCAAGATTCACAAACCGGTCAGGAAAATCAAAAAATTGTCTATTCTGAGGGCCATAACTTTGTGTAAAAAAAGTTTCAGCGTAGCCACTTATGACGGGGAGCTTTTCCAACCTGTTTTGTTAAGTGAAGTCAAAATCTCAGATTTGGTAAGTTAGTTTTGAGAAAATGAAAAGCAAAAAATTTGATCAAATATTCCCCAGACTTTTTCGTGGAAGGCTGTAGATAAATGGGTAATGCAGAAAGAGATCGGGGAGAATGACGGCAAATAAAAAGTAGGCAAGTTTCTATAAATATTTCTTTTCGAAAATCGGCCGAAGGGCTTAGCAAGTTATTTGAAATTCAAATTGTCAACTGAACAAAACTTTCGAAGCGGAAAAAAGGCCGACAATAATTTAGCAGACATCAGTTGACCAGAAAAAAAACCGATTTTGTAAAACTTTACCAAGTTTCAACTACCCCTGAAACTACCCTGTAGTAACTAGTACCCACCAGTAGTTAAATTTGAAATCGAGCATGTAAGCTGCATAGCAGCATCATATGAATAACTGATTGGGTTCAAGTTCTTAACAAGAAAAAAGCCTACATTCCGATTTTGAATATTTCAAGTTTCTTCAGTATTCCATCAAACTACGATCAATGTACTTTACGTAAAACTATCTACCAAAACATCTACCGCTGATCACAAGACCTTGCATAATAGAACGTTTTCTTGATTATTTGGTAATACAAAAACTGCCTGCTCGAACTTCGCATGGTGTTTAACTCAGTTCTTTGCACGCAACAAAATTGGCCACTTAAACAGGATTCAAGACCGCATTCATAACTTCTTGATTGTGATACATGAGGAAGAGGTATCGACAATAGTACTGCAGCCCTACCTTTTTAATACATGGTTCACAAAATCCAAATTCCATTAAAACCCAAATTTCTTTCACTCTTGGTCTCTTTATCTATCGATCTATCTATCTATTTTTCTATATATCTATCTATCTATCTATCTATCTATCTGTCTGTCTGTCTGTCTGTCTATCTATCTATCTATCTCATTTTTTAAAAATGACATTTTTCAATGAACCCTACGACTCATTCATTAAAAATTGATATTTAACATTTTTATTCGAACTTAGCATTACTTAAAGATTTACAATATAGAGGAATATAAAGAACAATTTGAAACACAATATTTCGAAGGCAAGTAACCTCAACAAAATCAGGAAATAACTTCATTTAGTAAATTATATTGAACGTCACAGAGTATTATTATTAGTGATATGCATCGATTCTGAACAGCAAAAACTTCTGTATAAAATGTCACACTTTTGTATAAATAATTTAATATTTGGTCTACAAAAATGTTTCAGAGGCGTTCAAAGCTCTTTAACCTTCTCCCCTACCCTCTTTGAAAAGTAAGATTTGTTACTGGGTACCATTTTCTCTTATGCTTAACCACAAAATGTCCCCTTATAGTGGCAATTAATATATGTTAGTTTTACCCATTGGCAGTTTCCGATTACATGGGATACTTAAAGAAATTCAATAAAAAGCAACTATCAAACACAATTATTAAGGACAAAGTTAATCAAAATTTGATCAATACGCCCATTGAAACATTGAATTGAAATGGCTGCTCATATTAACTAATTATTTCAGCAAATACGAGCAAACGGCTCTTTTCCATTTTACCTCCCTTCCCTTCCAAGCCCTTTGATTTTTTTTGCAATTCAATATGAACGTCTATGTAAAATGACTTTTCATATTACAAACTGCATTAAAACGCGTCAACGTGAACAAGTGAACAAATTTTTACTACTTTTTTTTACATGTCAAACGCCGTGTGAACAACTTTTGAACAGTTTTTTTTGTAATTTTACGAGGGGGTGGGAAACTGGACAAGAGCCGAGAAAACGATATCCGAAGTTGAAAATAATTTAAACTACATGCATGCAGCGTTGCAATTTTAACTACTCAACGATTTCATTTTCTATTTCAGCATTTTCTGTTTCTTAACACAATAATCAGCTCATAGTAATCTATATATACCATTAAATATGTAAGACTGATTTATAACCTATTCAAGTCAAAAATCTCTTGCTTAATATTTTTCTAAACAAGCCATTAAAAGAAAAAATCAGGATTGGTGAGTGAAAAAGAGCGAAGCCTCAACGGGTCTTTTTTGATTTATATTCACAATTGGGATTCAACAATTTACGCATGGCCCGAATTTCATAGTAAAATTGCTGTAATCTGATTGTTTGATAGTTGCATGCTTGTTTTCATATCGTAGTATGTTTTATTTGATTTACTATGATATTCGCAAAAACGCATAAGAAAAACAGCCTTCATAATTTTAAACACAATTTTCAAACTAGCGAGCTGACACCTGAAGATGAGCAAGTTAATGAGTTTGAACTGCTTTCCAAATCGATCGATTGGTTCGATTCTTCCTTTATGAACACAGAACGGCTGTCCGTTTCTGCTCTATTGAAGACTTCTGATTGGTTGGAACACTGCTGATTCACTATCTTCTTCAGTTTGAAGTCGCAAATAGAGACTGTTTTGTCACCGACAGTAATTTCAGTCGTTGTGAACACTTTCAGATCGACCATGTCTGAGATTTTCAGCCTAAAATACCACTTCAAAATTAAATAAAAACGTTTTCAGGGTTTTTTTGCCACATACATGATAACTTTACTCACCCAAGTAGTTCTGGTTTTAAGAGACGGTAGGTCTGGTTTTACAAAGTCAGATGAGGGGGATGTTATGGGATCCACTTGAAACTACAGAGTTTTTCAAAGAGTGCCCAGAAGGTCAACTTTGACAAGTTTACTCAAAAGCATTACAAAAATTATGGTCCTGTACGTGTTTTAGGAGAGCTTGGAAAATCAATTTGGTCAACCACCGAAAAGGTTGAGCGATTATGACCGCAATCCTTGCAATAATCCTAAATCCTCCCAAGCTTCGAACATAGCCAACTGACTGCACGAGCTATAAACTCTCCTGTCACGATAAGAAGTCCATTTGAGACAATTATATTTAAGTAAAAAAGTAAATAATCTACTATATATTCACATGCAGCGTCAAGAAGTGAGGTGGTGAAAAAAAACCTGTTAGAAACGAAAATTTGGCCCTATCTTCTTTTCGTATATTATCTCAATAGTTGCAAAACTTTGCTCGGAAGCTTTTCTTGGTTTCTTTCAAAATATAAGTAGCTTGGTTCAACTTATGGTTAGAACTAGTTGCTCGATTTTGGCGGCAGGCATGTTCTAATTCCTGATTTACCATGTAGTGTTACGTGAAAATTCGCTGCCTCTTACCTTCTCTTACGGGGGTGTTTTCTGGTCGCATTCTGTAACATGGTGTCTGGACTGACACTTCTACTCCTCGGGTCCACACCAGCGACAGCCGAGGAGAGAGAAGACACTAATGAAGCTGCCGATGCATTCGAATCCCTGTCGTGGTCTGTTTCAGCTAAGGATGAATCAGCAGCCGAAGATGTCACACTTGATCGAGAGCCACTAACTCTGCCTCTACAGTAAAAAAAAAAGAACATGGAAAATAGTCAAGAATAACTTCCGGTAAAACGTATTCACGAATATTTTCTAGTTATGTAATGTATAAATTTGACTTATTTCCATACTTCGATGCTTTGTTACCATCAAGTTTATACACAGAGTCGAAGCCGAGTTTCGCAGAACTTGCGATACAACGAAAGCGTAGCACTGCAAGCTGGCAAATAGACAGTAAGATGAAAATAACTAAGTCGAAAAAAACTTTAAAAAAAAACAATTTTTATTTAAATAGAAAATTTTATCTCAGAAAAACAAACAAGAAATACAACCAATTTCATTAACCAAGCTTTTAGTATTCTCCGAGCGTTCACTAAGCCAACAATCCGAAAACAGAACATTCCAAAAAAAAATGGTCCTAAAAAAATATGAGCGATTTAAAAGTTTGAGCTTTAACTTATATACTTCCAAGCGACCTGATTTACTCAAAAGAAGAAAAACTATTTTTATCCCTAAACCGATGCAAAAAAAAAATTCCAACTAAACAGACAAAACATGAGCCGAATTCATTTAGGCTGAATAAAATTTCTTTAAAAAAAATGAAAAGTATACCAGTCAGGGCTAGTAAAATAAGAAAACTACAGGATTTAATCAACGAGATTTGCAACTACCAAGAAAACTGCTTACATCGCAAAAACGTGGTTTGGCAACTAAGCCGAGAAACTACAGTCCCACTATACAATTTTTCCGGAAAAAAAATCGATTTCAGACGCTGAAAAAATAAACAAGGTCCGACCGGGACTCGAAACCCAAACCAAAGGGTAAAAAGGCAACCGCATTACCAACAGGCCAAGTGAAACAGGGCCTGGAAAATGATAAAAATAGACAATAAAACAACATCGATTTCAATTGCAAATGTGTAAAAAATGATGTTTTACGGAAAAGTTCCCGATTACAAGACACTTGCTTTCGCAAGGGTAATGAGCATAAAATCAGAACAAATCAATTTCACATCAGAACTTTACAACTTTCTAAGAGAACGTTTATTTTTTTTGAGCTGCTAGCTCATAAAAAATGATTTCAATTTCAAAAAATATAGCAAAAAAAATAATTAACGGGTCTTCAGAAGTCAGTACTAATAGCAAAAATTATATACAAGCTGTTTAGCCTAATGTGGAGAACCGCTGTTGTGTCCCTCATTGTTAACTACATTCAGTTCAAGCTGGACCTAGAACCACCGACCTTCAGCTGAGAGGCGGCGAACAAAGCAACAACGCCATCGCTCATGATTCGAGGCATGTGTATTTCAGCAAGCCGAACACTTTGTTAGGCATCAAACTTTTTAAGTCTCATCAGCATTATACTGAAAGCTCACTCTCACATGAAAATATGTTTCATTTAGTCTGAAAATCGCAAATCTCAGATTCAATTTTCTTCACACTAAGCTTTAATCTGATGCACCCTCAAATATTAAGGGCTTTGATGGAATAAATAAGTAGCTCCCCAACGAGTTTTCTTAGAAACTTAAACTAGGCGAAAACCTACCTACGCCTTAGGTCCAGCGAAACCAACAAGAGTGGTCGGATTAATCAGTTTCTATCAGAATTATCATTTAGATAAAACGTTACCTGGAAGAGGGCTTCTTGGTTGAGCAAATCTCACAAGAGTAGAGTGAGAATGCATTTCTATATGTACAAGTTGGACACTGCCACAGAGACGAGGAGTCTGGTTCGGAGGATTCGCCCCTGGATCTGGAGCGGGAGGAGCCGGCACTTCCTTCGGCCCCGCTGTTCATTGACCTGAATTGTATATATGTAATTGGTTATTCCAGAAAAATTAATCTACACTTATTTCTTTGTATAAAAAGCTTGAATGGGTCATTTTATCGACGGTGTTATTTAACACTCAAGGGGTATTGTTGACAGCGGATCTATGTGGGAAGGAGGGGGTAGATCCCCTTTCAAAGTGAAAAGGGCCACTTCACCATCTCAAGTACTTTTGTAGTCTTCGGTACCATTCTCCAACCAAACCAACCAACCCCCTATTGCCAGTACAGATGCGTTCAGCTATTTTTAACAAGCATTTTGAGTGTTCTGCTAAAAAAAAACAATTGAGAGCTCAATTAAAATAATTAATAATTAGGGTTGACCTGCAAGAAGTCAAAATTTAAAAAATTTTCAAACGCCATTTCAAGGTTCATTACATTCACGTAGCTTGAAATCTGCAATTTTTTTTATAATTGTCAAGAATTGCTAGTGGAAAAAAAGAAAATCATAGTTTTGTTAGCAAATAACCTGCACAACCTCACTCGAATTTGATGCTTATCAATTTTTCAAGGTTAACCATCCACATGTACAATTACAAATAAATTCCAGCAAATGCAAAAATTCAACTTTAAACAAATTCATTGCTGATTTAAATTAACCGAACAAAACGTACAAAAGTTGAAATTTCAAACGTGTTTTTCTCATATTGGGTTAAGATTAGACAAAAAGTGAAGAGAACAGAAGTTGCTTAGAAATTCGATAGAATTAGTATGGTGCATTTTTTCCAAAATTCTGAACCAGAATTTTACACCGAAAGTGGCTCAATTTAGCTTTTTAAATTAAATTAGAATTACGCTGAAACTACCAAGTAAGTGTCCCTTTTGATGAGAAAAATATATTAAAAGAAGCCACTTACACAGCTCAACAAAGATCTAGAAGGGTAAATTTTGAGAAAACCTGTATAAGAGAATATACTTTTGGTTGATAGCCAAAAAAGGTCATTTTTAAGGTCATCTTTACTATATAAAAACCAAAATCTAAGCTTAAGAACTTTCGTTTAAAAAGTTTTGTAAAATTTCAGAGATTTTACCATTCTAGAACTTCGTTTCGCTGTGGATAGGACTTCTTTTAATATATCTTTCTCATCAATTAACGTAGTCATTTCATCGTAATTGATTAAGTTAAAAAAAGCAAAAATTGAACCAATATTGGGGTTAAAATTAGGTTGGAAATTTTGAAAACACTGCACCATAATAAACCTGGTAAAATCCAATCAAATTTTGTTCTCTTTTCACGTTTTGTCTAATCTTGACCATTTTGAGAAAAACGCGTTTGAAATTTTAAAATGTGTACCTTTTGTCCCGTTATTTTAATTCACCCCTGTATTGGTGGTAACTAAAATTTACTCACTTTCGTGATCGCATCGCCAAAATACTAGGCTATTTGAATAAATTTCTTCGTCTAATTACTTCCATATCGGCTCTGAAAATAAACAATCGATAAAATCGACGTGCTTAACCGCGAAAAACGATATTTATTTCTAGGTTAGCTAAATGGTTCTGCTTACATTCCGTGAACAGTAGTCGACAAGAAAGACCTTTTTCGAGGGAAAACTGGTTTTCATGATTTCAAAACGACCCATTTTCAACTCGTATTGCTCGGAATTTGTTGTTGTTTTTCACTTATAACAAGCAGCTTTCCTTGTCTAAAAAAACTGACACGACAACTCCCTGCCAACAAAACATCACAGATAACGTTCAGGGAAGAAGTTTTTGTTTGATTTCACAACTCAATCTTTGATTGCGACCAAAAAAATTTTAAAAATTGAAGCAAAAAAAATTCAGATTTTGTGTATAACATTGCACGCTATCTTAAATACAAAACTATGATTCCCGTCTAACAACATACAGTGCTGATTTTAATTAACCGGACACAACAAACATTCGAAAATTCAAACGCGTTATTCTCAAATTGGGTTAAGAGAAGCCAAAAAAAAGAAGAAAACAAAAGTTGCTTAGAATTTCACCAGAACTATTGGAACAATATGGTTCAATTTTTTCTCCGAAATTCTCAACCAAAATTTTACAACAAAAAGGGCCATTTTGTCTTTTTTAATTAATCAAGAATTACGCTGCAACTATCAGTTAATTTTTGAGAAAGTTGAATGAAAAGAAGACTATAATACAGCCCAACAAAGTTCTAGAAAGGGAAAAATTTCAAAAAATTTGCCTAAAACATTTGAAAATTGTTTTCAGCCAAGATTTTAGTTCAAATTAAGTAAAAATGACATTTTTGGCTATCAACCAAAAATATCTTCTTAAACTGATTTTCAGAATTTGTGCTCTTCTAGACCTTTGTTAGGTTGTATAAGAGGCTTCTTCTGATATAAATTTCTCATCAATTAACTTAGTTATGTAGTTTCAGCGTAATTCTTGATAAATTGAGAAATGCCCAAATGAACCATTTTTGGGTCAAAGATTTGGTTAAAATGTCGAAGACAATCTTGCATCTTATTGATTCTGGTGAAATTCCAGGCAAACTTTGCATTCTTCACTTTTTGCCTAACCTCAACCAAACTTAAGAAAAACGCGTATTTTGTCCAAAATACCAAACGCATGAACGTTGAGCATCCTCCATTACAAAAAATAACGACTTGATCAAGACGCGTGGAGATCAATCATGACATTTCGGCGGGAAAAGTATATACTCGAAATGTCATCAAACAATTAAAAGAGCTGAGCGAGAGAGTTACGGTAACTGTCGCAGTAACCAGTGCGGTTTTATCAGTAAGATGATATGGCTACTCAGTTTGGCCTTCCAACTAAAGACTTTGATACAAACGGCTGCACAGAAACGCAAGCAGCTAGATGTAAAAATTCCCGTTGCACAAATTTCGAGCTTCCTGAAATTTTTAGAAGCCTAATTTGGTATGACTCTGGATCAAATGATCACATTATGTCTGTTTATGAAGACAAAACTGATCTGTACCGTAAACCAGTGTAACTTTTGTCTGATTTTTTATTCCTAATTTTCAAACTTCAATGCTGCCTTATTTTTTCAGCTATTTTTGAACACAGTAAAGCCTCCCGGAAAACGTAATAAACGCAATACCTTGATTCCAGCAGCTAGTAATTCAAATCCAGGACAATAGCGCTTATGTGGGAATGCTAGCTTCGGACTAGGGGCAGGCAAATTCTTTAGGTACTGCCTTTTGGTGCCGATGATTCAAAAACAGCAGAACAAAGCGACCGGTTTATATGTTCGAGTGCTAGCATGATTCTTAAATTGGAATTTTGTTAGCTTTTTGGAGTTGGATGAACCACTCCATTTCTAGTAAAAGAACCTTTAATTAATTGAGGGACCATTGAAAATCCGATTTATTTGTAGAGTCATTTCTGTTTAACGTACGCGGACTAAGTAGCTTTCAATTTTCTGGCTTTAAATGGCAAAAAGTTCTCTCGCTTTACCTTTTGATGTTTAACGAAGTTCACTTTGGAATATTTTTTTACACTTTGAATTAAAACGGCGTTAAAGAAGTTACAGAAATGGCTTTAAAATGCAGTGATTTTAAATGGGCAAGGTAAAACGAAAAGTTGATAGTGAAAGTGTACCGTGTTAAGTTGCTGGTAATTAAAAAGTGCTAGACGATAACCTACGGCTGAGGTCAGAAAGAAAGTCGGACTCGTAGCACAACACAAGCGTTGACTAAGAACAATCGGATGAAGCACAGTATATTCTTACCATATCCAGTCGAGCAAAAATGAAGCAATATTGTTAATACGTTCAAAAAATTATCTCAACATTTTTTTCGTCTTTTTGTAATTATTTGAAGTTTTATATGTTAGTGGAGAGGGCCAAAACTTGAAATTGAGTTCATCAAAAGAATTTCTTCAAGCAGAAAAAGAAAGCGAAAAAATGTATAACCAGAATTTTATATATTTTTGCTTTGTTAGGGAAAAGTTTAGGGATCAGCGATGGGAAGAGTTTAGGGATCAGTGATGGCTAACTCAGTCGGTCGGTAAGAAAATCGGTTAATCATAGTTTTGTTTCATGTGTTATTGATGCGTTGAGACATATGGCCTATCGACAGCATGATATATGAAAAACTGTCCTAAACTGAAATACTATCATAAATATCTCCGAAAACAGTAAACTTAGCTGATATGTCTCTGACAAGCTTAAAAAAAACTATCCATAAATGTAACAGACTGATGTGCACCGCAATGAGCACATAATTATGCTTCGAGCCATCATCTACAATGAACCGGACAACACTCACAATATAATCTGGCCTTGCACTCACACGAGCATCCAACTAACAATCGAGCTTACTTATGCTAAGATTCTGGTTGAGATATGCAGACCAGTCATCCGATTCAACATAACGAACTTAGCAAAACAATGGAATAGAGACGAGACAAAACCACTAACCCAACCCAGCTAAAATAAACGAACCCACAGTCACCAAAAGTCCTCGAGGCTACAACGACAGCATTTTATACAAAGATTAAACCTGAAGCTCGCTAAAAATGAGCTGAGATTAATTCACAACTTTTCCGAAAACCCTGACTAAAAATGATTCAATGGGAGAAAAAACATCTTCGCGTTCGGTACTACGTCAGTTAATAACTCGTTTCAATGCGTTTGTAGTTTGCAGCTTGCTCGGTTCAAAAAAGCAACAACTAATTAATTAATTGAAAAGCTCCACTAAATAATCAATTATGACTGACGCGAAACGTCAATGCTGGACTGGAAACCTTTCTCAGCAGCCACGTGCTAAGGAGGAGGGGCAACATCATCCTCAATTTCCCAATTTCATACCGAATTTCCCAAAAGCTCCCCCCCCCCCTCTGGTGCAATTTTAAGACAGCCATTTTTAGCAGAATAACCCTACATATATTGTAAAGGCGCCTTAACGTCAATTTTTACTAATTTTTATCGAACTGCCGACGCTAAAACAAAACGCGCTCCAAATCTACCAAAAATTTGTCAGAACAGCATTTTTTTTACATAAATAGCCTGCGGAGTACATTTTGCCCAAAATAGCAAAAATTCATGCGCACGCCCTAGGTTCTTTTTTGAAAAAAAAAAAGAACTCGACAACCATAACTCAGGCCATGCGCAGCTTCGTACCACGAGCGATACAAGAAGATAATCTCTGAATTAAGATTTGAGAAAAAAATTTGACTACTTGAAAATCCAAACCATATATCCTATTTTTCAAAAAAAACTTCCAATCTTTTAAGACTAGCCACAATAAACCTATTGATCTATTATACTTTGAAACTTTGAAAGCTCATTTGACAAAAAAAAGATCGATGGAATAATCTGAGAGAGGAAATTGCAGTCAGATAAAATCATAAATTCACATTTTGGGACTGAAGAGTCCATTCAATCCCTTTCTGTAAACAACAGTTATATGAAAAAATATCGAAGTTCAATATATCGAAAAGTTATCCTATCCCCCGCTATGTAAAGTAAAAAGAGGCAAAATCAGCATCTTGCAAGATATAGTAGTTTTAAATGATGACAACTCATGAATTCTGCGAACGAAGTTTTTACCGGAAAAAAGTCTTGTACTCACTTGCAACAACGTTGCTAAGCACAAGGATAATTTATATATGATAAAACAATAAATGCATTGCCTTAGTCAAATTTAAACTGACAAGTTAAACTGCTATCTTAAAACTGCCTATCTTTTTTTTCATGGTCATTATCCAAAAAGTCTAAACTTAGCCTAATTGTTGTGATAAACTTATTAAATAGATAGATATGTCTCGACGAACCGGATAAACATCTTATCTTGGGTAGCCCTTGTCTACGAAGGGATTTTAGAGATCCGGTTGATGGAAATCGAAATTGACAGAATCAGATAAAGAAGATAAACCAGCTCATTTGAGAGTGGTTACGACAGCAAGAAAAGACACGAACAATTTCCCGGATGTTATCCAGCTCATTTTAGAGCGGAAACGACAAAGAGAATTTGGAAATATCTTTAAACAAATCTACCAAAATCCAGCTCATTTTAGAGCGGAAACGACCAATAATTCCCAGCAAGACAATTGAAATATGTCGTCTCTCCACTGTACAGTATGTCAAAACGCTTTAACCAATCAATCGGTGAAATGCGTCGGTTGTCAAGCTTCTGCCCACTCTGCGTGTATTGGCCTCAACACTGCCGATAAGGTGGTTGGGCACATTGAATGGAGTTGCCCAGATTGTGGAACCTGTAAAAGAGATCTTTTCCGAGTTATTGATGAACTGCGACAAGAACTGTTCTCAATAAAGACTATGGCGCAAGATGTACACGAATTAAAGTCTGAGCTGCTATCGCTGAAGCAATATCGTGAACCAAGTAGTATAATTGAAAAGAACAAAACCAATTATGCTGGGGCAGCGAAGTTTAATCTGAATTCTTCGGCATTCATCAGAAATGCTCGTGAAAGTGTATCCTCAGAAGCTGGTAGCTCGAGGGTTACGAAGCG